ATTATTAATTTTATTATTTTGATGCAGCTAGGATACATATTGGGTAAACCTTTACGTCCTGGCCTGACTACTAACCAACAGCACCACCCAGTGGTTAATTATATTATTACATTTTCCAGAAACCAGACTTAAAAGAAGTAACGTCCGTTGATGTTCATTCAGATTGTGCCCTGAAATCATTTTTGTTTTCCAATTTTTTAAATGGATATTTAATCAGAAAATACGACTTATATCTTTATCCTGCAAAGACAAATGTCTCAGATGGACGGCCACATAGGCCGGCTGTTATTCCATCTGATTCGGCAGCTATCCACCAGGCAAAGGTGTCCCTTTCATAAATCTGAATCTGAAGTGTCATTGTAACGACGTAATATTTTACAATTCAATTGTCGCAATTCTTTTCTTTTTTTCCCCCCCAGCGCAAACAGTAATTAAAAAAGAGCAAACAGACAACATAATTAAACTGTCACCGAGCCGCTGCATCAACGGCCCAGTGACACTTTAATTATATTACCTGTTTTCTTTGGCCATTAATATGGTCCCATCAGTACAGTAAATTGATATAACTCCTCAACAAACCACCCATACGTGATTGACTCGTCTTTAAGTCAAGGTGGTTTGTTTTTTTGTCTTTTTTATCTTTCTTGGCGGTTCTCTTTCAGACGCTTGTCGCACCGGATTTTTTTTTTTTTTTTAAACAACTGGCCAAAAGAAAATAGCACAAAGAGAGCTAATAAACACACAGAAGTTTGCTAATTAGCTTAGCTCACGTATGTTCTTGTAGTTGGGCATCCAACACCTTTTTGGCACGTTTGGGTAGTGATTACATACATGGAGCTCTTTGGCAAAAATGATTCAATTCTTACAATATACGGTCACTACACACATTGTAAAATTGTATTTATTTATATATATATATATATATACATATACATACATATATACACATATATATACATATATATACACACATATATATATACACATATATATACACATATATATACACATATACATACATATATACATATATATATACACACATATATACATATACAGATACATATACATATATACATATATGCACATATACATATATATACACACATATATATATACACACATATATACATATACATATACATATACATATACATATACATATACATATATACATATATGCACATATACATATATATACACATATATATACATACACATATACACATATATATACATATATATACATATTTACATATATACATACATATATACACATATATATACATACATATATATGTATATATACACATATACACACATATACACATATACATACATATATACACACATATATATATACACACATATATATATACACATATACATACATATACATACATATATACATACATATATATGTATATATACACATATACACACATATACACATATACATACATATATACATACATATATATGTATATATACACATATACACATATATACATAGATATATATACATATATATACACATATATATACACATATACATATATATATATAAAAAACGTTAATTGCTAATGATATACCAGCACTCCCTCTGCAATCTACTAATAGATCGCAATCTACCATAACAGAACATAAAGCCATCTCCAATGTTCTCAACACTGTTTTCAACAACAGATCAAGGCTCACTAGCGTGTCACATCACTTGTTAAGGACGACCAAAATGATCCTGACTGTGTGTTTCAACCAGATCGCTGATCAAAAGTCAACCAAACGTAAGGGTAGTTGTGGTGATGGGAAGGGTTCGGTGGGAAGTCACCGTAGGAGGGTGTCAACGGTCAGGTTCAGGCGGTTGACGAAGAAAAAAGAAAATGGGAAAGAAGGTAAAATTGGCGGGAAACAGGGGTAAGATTAAAAAAAAAAAAAAGAAGCAGAAATGATGAATAGTGAAAAAGGACTACTTGCTGAGTCCACAGCATGTCCACTTCGGTCAGATTTGAACCATTCATAAAACGTGTCACAGCCGTAAATACGGCCTGACAAGTAATCAGTGCAGTTGTCCCTGTGTTTCCAAGGACACGGTGACGGCGAAGGTGACAAAGACGGTCCCCGGTGCTTTGAAGCCGGTCAATCAGAGTGACGAGCAGCTGATTGAGACACTGTGAGGCTCGCAGACGTTGAAGAAATCACTAGAAGAAGAAGAAGAACAACAAATGGGACACAGAGATGGACACACCGGATGAGGGACACCTTTAACCTACGTGGTGCGCGGTTGGACTCTGCGGGAGATCGAAGGCAGCAGTGGTGCAGTAAATCAGCCAGTGGGAGACTGTGATTATATTGGTTTTCTACTAGATGACAGTCATCAAGACCGTCACGGATGAAAGAGTGATAGGGCGACAGCTCTTCCAGCGGAATTTAGCTATATATATTTATAACAGCTTTTATATATACTGTATATACATATATATTTTTATATATATACATACATAAATATATACATACATATATATATACATACATACAT